AACTGTTGTCACCTTCTCACCCAGCTGCTTGGCGATGGTCTTGTAGCCCATTCCAGCCTTGTGTTGGTCCACAATCTTGTCCCTGACATCCTTGGAAAGCTCTTTGGTCTTGGCCATGGTGAAGAGTTTGGAATCTGGATTGATTGATTGCTTCTGTGGACAGGTCTCTTTTATACAGGTAACGAGCTGAGAGGGCTCCCAATGTCAGCTCGTTACCTGTATAAAATACACCTGGGAGCCAGAGATCTTGCTGACTGATAGGGGATCAAATACTTATTTCATTCATGAAAATGCAAATTAATGTATAACTTTTTTTGTGATGCATTTTTCTGGATTTTTTTGTTATTGTTGTGTCTCTCACTGTTCAAATAAACCTACCATTGAAATTGCAGACTGATAATTTCTTTGTTAGTGGGCAAACTTACAAAATCAGCTGGGGTTCAAATAATTTTTCCCTGACTGTACATCACCCGACTACAGACAAGGACAAATGAAAGGAAAAACCACATTCACAATCTTTGGTTTTCTACATTATTACTGTCTATTGTCCATTACTGTTTTCAGGGTGACCTTTAAGATAAAACACAAATGATTAGATGATCAACAAAAGATGAGATGATTAGATGGCTCACACTGAAGGACTGGGAGCCAACTGCAAATAGAAAATACATGCTTCATCAAGTTTACGTAATCAGTAGAAAATTGATAACATTACATTATTCATTCATTCATTAATTTATACTTTATAATTACTTACTAGTTAATCTAAAAGAACAAGACTCATAAAATATAACAGGTTTGCCAATGAATGTCTGTGTTTTCACTGTCTCATTTCTCCTTTCAAGTGCACACACACAGACATGAGGTTTGCTTGGTCAGTGCGAGAGTGTCTTTGCAATCGTGTATAAATGTAAACCAAAAATGTTAAATTATGTTATGTTACAAGATTTCAGCATTGGTCCAACACTTTAGTCCAAAATCTCCCATAGATGTTCAACACGATTGACATCTGCAAAGACCACATCACTTTCATACTCATGAGTGACCATTCATGCCCTGTAGATGGGGTTTTTCCTTTACTTTAACTTGTCACCTCTTTGTAGCTTACCTTTTTGGTCTTCTTGACTGTTGCAGATGGAGGCTGATAGTCTGGGTCTTTAGCCCAGTTTGGGTCCTCATGTGGAGGCTGAATGGGCTCATCCTCCCCTTCTTCAAGCAACTGGTTCCCCACCTCCTCATCTTCCTCCTCAAGTTGGGCTTCTCCTCCCTCATCTTCCTGCTCCACTGTCTCCACCTCCCCGTTAGCACCAACCTTAACTACCTACACATCAAATGCAACAATTGATTAGTCTGTTAATCACTACTGACAAATCACTCTTTCTGTGATTTTCTCCTGCAGGTCCATTACAAGAAACTCATTTACTTAGAGATATCTTGACCATCAGGAAATGCAATGATCTTTATTGGTGACGATCCAAGGAAAAACCACATTCACAATCTTTGGTTTTAAGCATATTTTAATGGATCAGTAATCTTTGGTTTTAAGCATATTTTAATGGATCAGTAACAGCTAAAATAAATCTGATCAAATGTCATCGTTTTTACTGCAGTCAGTGCTGCCTTTCTTTACCAACAGTCTGCAATGGATTTTCCTCAAAACTAGAGTGTGTTAGGGTTTTCCTCAGGCATTCAGACAGGGGGTGGGGGTAAGGAAAATATATGTGAATTATTATTTTATTAACTGGGCGCGGTGGTTAGCGCTGTTGCCTCACAGCAAGCAGGTTCTGGGTTCGAGCCCCGGCCAACCTGGGGCCTTTCTGTGCGGAGTTTGCATGTTCTCCCCGTGCTTGCGTGGGCACCGACTTTATCACACAGTCTTCTTCTTTTGATTGGCGGCTGGCAAACCAACTTGCAAACCACCTACTAAACTGGAGTGTGGAACAGAAATACTCACCCAGTCACTGACCCAGCCTGTCTGCTCTTGGCCATCTCACACAACTACGCAACTAGACCTAACCAATCGTTAAATAAATTCATTGCCATCTATTTTTATTATTGATTTTTATTTATCAATTAGTTGTTTCAGCCCTAGAGGATTAGCTAATTTGTACATGTAGGCAGGCAAGGCAGCTCACACTACATGACTGCTGCCCTGATGAAAACCTGCATCACAGTTTGCGGTTGATCCTCCTACTCAGTACTAGGTGTACAGTGCGTGCAGCACAACATTTGAAAAATAGTTGTAGGAGGGTACAAAATATCTTTCTTGATGTCAAACATGTTAGATTTGTTTCTGAATCAGTCTTCTCTTCCTGT